GAAATCATACACGAACACCTAAAAGCAAGAGAACGGTCATTATCAGTTACGGGTGAAACATCCGATGCCACGCCATTACGGTGTGTACGTTTGTAATGCTCGGGATTGCGCGTCAAATTACCGCAAGTCGCAACTAGTTATCGCGATTTTATAGTAATCGGTCACGCATCGAGATACCTTACAAAAGAGAGCAAATTGGAGTGGGGGCAGGGAGAAGGGAGAGAATTGGAAAATAATTTCACTCGTAAACGTATTCGCGAGAGAAAACTCGTCGGTGACGTATCGAAGAAGAAGAACGCATAAGCGCGCACTCGGATGGAAGAGAGCCCATAGCTATCGCTATCGGTTACGGGTTAAGTATCGGACTGAATGCACAATGGTGCACGCGTCTCAAACAATAGCGCTGGCAATTAAGCGATGAATTATCGCGAATCAGTTTGCTTTTTAGCGCGCCGTCGCGCGTCAGTGATCGATGGCGGACGCGGTTAAGAGGGATGAGACGCGCGGCCCCGACGATCGGAGAACACGAAAGTGCAAGGCAGGAGCAACGTCTTCGGCCGGCCACGCCTTCGATCGGCACAATGGAGCGCAACAATAAAACTGAAGACTAGAAATAAGAAAAAAAATGAGAGAAAAAAAAGAATCACAGAGAGAGAGAGAGAGAGAGAGAGAGAGAGAGAGAGAGAGAGAGAGAGAGACCTATTTCTCGCTTCATTTTATGTCTGATCTTTAGATAAAAGTGCTCGAACACATACTTAATGCTGGATATTCTTATTGTTTTGGACCAATATAAAAAGTTTTGATTCAGTATAAAAAGAAAAAAAAATATGTATATATACACCTATATTCTATGCTGAAGGTCTAAATATTCGCATTCAAAAATCAAAATGATAAGAATGTCCAGAGTTACGTGTCTAGGAATTGATACTTTCATCCTGATTCAATGAAATTTGCGTTTCATCCATTCGGGGTACTTGAAACTCAATATCACGCGGTCCAACAACCAAATTCTCAGACGAAACGGTTCGGTGGAGGAAACGAGTGGTAATTAGGCGAATAAAACTTACTTCATTCCGCGCTAAAGCGTCGGAGAGCAGACGAGTGTCTCTTGTCAGGAGCGACAGACGGCGATCGCGGTCATACCGAAAAGAGAGAGGGTGCACCGAGAGTCGTGCGTCCGTACGATCTGGCTGTGGCACATGTTCGCAGACAACTGTTCGCAATTGGCCGTCTGCGGAGGCGGAGGCTGGAAAGAATGTGCGACAAAAAGAACGAGAAAGTCGGCTGTCTGTATCTCACGTCTTCGCACCTCGTACACGACCTCCCAATAGAGGTCATTCAATTTGGAGGCGATCATCGCGGAGACGTCGCGACACTCGCGACCTGCCGCGAGCGGCCGAGAGCAAACGGCGGGAGGAACGGCTGGGAGAAATTAATTCGTATCAACGGCGAGTGCGATCACACCGTCTATCGAGTCGCGGCGGCGTGCGATTGCGCTCGCTGTTGATACAAATCCCTAACGTGGAAATTTTTTCTCGATCGCAATTATAATTTTCCCCTTTTTTTACGTCGAGCAGTCCTATTTGATTTACGATGTTATTTTCTCGTCAATTACGCCGTTGCTTCGTGGGAATTTCGTTCGAATTTCAGAGAACAACCCGAATCGGCTCGCTTCAAATCTGCTCTGCACTTCGACGGACTAATTAACTCGCGAAATGGAGGGCAGCCGTGAAGAGATATGTAGCATCTTCGATCACGAGAAAACGAGACAATTGCACCGTCGTAGTGACAGATGACCGGTGACCGCGCGTTCCTCTATTAAAGTTATTTTTTATCATGATCTTCAGTATTCAAATTATTTTTTATCATTATGTCTACTTTCAGTATTAAAATTGTCTTTTGTCATTACATCTATCTTCATTAGAGAAGAAAAAGTTGGAATGCCCTAGATAATTTACTTGATTATCGGATCATTTGTGTGCTTGATATACTTACTACTAACTCTCTCGCTCGTTTTCTTTATGCAACAATGAAGAACCCGCATTAGCTACATCTTAAACGTGGCAAGCAAGCTTGTATTCGACCAGCTACATGGCCTTTAAACTGGCCTTTAAGCCTCATGTCAGCCAATAATCAGTCAAGTCAAACGATAGCGCGGGTCGATCTGAATTCGGCCAAGTACAAAGACAAGACATGCTATTCTCCTTGCGACGAAGCAACTTCTCCTTTGCACACGAAGCAACTGGTCGCTTTTCTCCTCAGACAGATAACGGCACCCGTCTGATATTACGGTGCTTTAGCGTGAAATCAACTAAGTTTCACGTGCTCAATTACCACTCGTTTGCTCTGTGTAACCGTTTCGTCGAGTTACGAAATTTCCAATGTTGAACCGCGCAACACATTTCCTCCTCTCGTTCCTCTCCTTCTCCCCTCATTATTATTTGCTCTCTTTTTCTCTTTCCCCCGACCACACGCTCAAATAAAAGACAGCAAGCTCATCGGCGGAGAAAGAAAGGAGAGAGAGAGAGAGAGAGAGAGAGAGAGAGAGAGAGAGAGAGAGAGAGAGAG